ACCTGAGAACTCAATCCACACGACCTCGCGATTCAGCTCGCCCCCGAACGGAAGTTCGCCGGTTTATTGCCCCTCCCTCCTTCCCGTACGAGAATTCCGTGAAAGATAAAATAAATGTACCGGAGATGGCCGGTCGCAAAGTGATACGTCGAACCGCCGGATATTTCCGGCTAAAGTCAGCGCGCATGTGTTTAGCTGGATCAGCGTTTGTCGACCTACCTCGGTATGCGAATCTTTTATGACGTACAGAAACGCCGTGGTATTACAGCCGTATCTATTATATGGCGTGTTTTACAATCAACGTTATAAAATAATCATACTGCACTGCTGCTGAGTTTATCCGAATCAATCTCGCGGAATACTAATTTTTCGCGATTTTTCAAATTCTCACATTGAGTAACTTCGTAATCAAGCGCCGAATTAAAAATTCCATTGACCTCACTTTGAATAGAATGACGAATAATGTTCCATTATCGACTCGCGCGTCTGAAGCTTTTCATTCGCGAGAAGCTATTCGTTTGTTTTCTGCGATTCACAGCGCGGGAGCAATTATCGACTTCTCCGACAAAAAGCGACTTCAAGTTTCACGAAAAATTACAAGTCGCAAGTGCGCACGCACGTCCACGCGCAATTTTTATCGCGCATCGTAAATCTTACACCAGTGTGAAATACGACACGCGAATAGCGACGACTGTAATTTTCCAACGTGCGGCTTCACATAACAAACTAACGTTGCAAAAGTCGCAAAGGTTCAAGTAGTAAAATCGAAAAAATACTCAAGAAATGCCAGCGCAGGTGTTGGAGCGCTCAAGCGCAATGTTAATATACTGCGTATCTCTCATTAGCAAAATTATTCCATACTTTTAACCAGTTATATATTGCAAATGAGGAACGCCTTGTTTAGAATCGCCTTAGCAACACGTGTCATACGATGACGCTACATCCACTCGAACCTACTTGGAAGCGTCTCGAGTCACTTTGACGTTAAGCAGCTTAAACGGCTGATATATCCGCGTACGCTGTTCTGTACATCGGATTAGCTACACTAAGGGCTCCTTGTTCCTACGCGCTGTAAATTGGAATCTGTTCTCTATTACGCGCTGACACTCAGACCTGCACAATTTCTCCTTACCTGTATTGAGCGGTGAGCCTGTGCAGTCCTGAAACACTATATACAGCGCTAAGATCATCGTGAAATTCACCATGCAATCCATAATTTCGAATAGCATGCCGTAGTTTTGCGTATTTACGCACGCAGAAATATTGACCAATGCCAAAAAGCTATTAAAAGAATCCCACGTCGATTCCGTAAAAGTTTAATCGCGTTTTAAGTTGCACTTTTATTAGGGACACGTGGATACTCATAAAATACAAATTGAGCTGTTCAATTTCGCAAAGCGAGTTCGATTATTCCACACATATTTGGATATGCATTTTATAATTATTGAGTATTCACAGCAGGTTAGGTTAAGTCGAATATTGGTTAAATAAAATTTAAAATGAATGTCATAGATGATAAAAAAAAGAAACTATTTCGCACCACGAGGTTTCGCGTAGCTTAAAATTATTTAGTATTCCAAAATTATCGAATATCGAGTTAAATTCAGCTTGATTCGAATAGATTCATATCAAACCGTATATCCGAATATATACAGTTCGTACAACACCAATCCGTGTATTGTTCTTTCCTTTTTTTTTCTTTAACACATAAAACAAGGAAATTATTTTTCATTTGATCTCTCACAACTGACAAAGCAACTGTCCATCTTTTATCTATAATTTTACAGAAGCGATATAGTGCAAATTACAACGCATAACGGTGTATGCAACACGTATAAGCTACACAAACATATTAATTCGGTATCATTAACATCGCGAATGCAAGTTGGACGAAGTAATTATCCTCGCAAGTCCGCAAGCGAACGTTGATACGTAACTGAACTGTTTATGTAGCTGACAGTTGTAACGCGAGTGCAATTAGATGCACATCGAGGCAGCCTTAACTTTCTGGGTTTCTATTCTATTAAAGTTACCTTACTTTCTAGAGTGGATGAGAAGTCGGTTGAAAGGTGGAATAATATATAAAGGATGTTTTACACCACGGAAATATCATCTCATTTCGTTCGTACGCGTTGCATGCGTTTCAATTCTTCCAAATGTCAGAGTCAAAGGAATTCATCATCAAAGGAAACAAAAAAGTAAAACCAAACTTCTTGACTGATACATTATTTTCGCGCGACGATGAATTGACAATCTTTAAATCGTGCGCCGTGCAAATGGAGAAGAAGCATAATCGCGTGCTTCTTGTCCCGTCGCGAACTATCGATTTCGAACAGCGTGAACGCCATATAAGAGACAGTAGGAAAAGAGAGATGGATGCACGGCCGGGTCACAAAGAAACTAATCTCCAATACAGCGTAATGTAAAGCTGATAGCGCTCTTTCGAGGCGGAGAAAAAGCGACTTGTCGGAATACGGTCAGCGCATCTTTTGCATCGCAAACGACGATCTTGCAGTAAGCCTTGGCCAGACCTTATCGGGACCCCATCAAAGATTTTCGATAAGACATGGACAACAAAGGGCTATCGCTTTAAACGCGACTTTCACGAACCATTAATCGTATCTCGCGACTCTTACTAATTTCTAATTTTTCTGCGAAGAAAACAATATCTCGTGTCATTACATAACGCGCTCTCTCTCCGAGTGAATCTTGATTTGCAGAAATTCTTCTAAACATGTTATTCTAATTAAATTTAAGATGTATCGCGATCAAATAGGCACGCACAAAGAGAATATTATAATTTTTCTTCATATAAATTTTTTTCAGTTTTACTACGTCTTTAGTAGTCCAGGAATAGGTGTCACTAAAGTCTATCTTTTCCTAAGGAATTTAGTAAATTTCATTGGAAACAATATAGCAAGTATTTTAATAATATATTTCAGTTCCTAAAATATATAAGTAGCATACATATAATAAAAGGATAATGAATTACTACAGAATGACGATCAATTTCTCGGTTACAAAATCCTATAATAATTTTCACTATAAAATTCACTTTGTGCAGAAATATCAAACGAAAACATGTTAGTTTTCATTGCGTTCACGGGGAAAATGAGGTCTTTTTCCAATGAAAATGAAAACAAGGAGAGGAGAAAATGTTGGCGCAATTTTCTTTTTTGATCGTGTCAATGGCAAAAAGACGTCGTTAAAATTTCCCAGCACTCCTAGTCTCGACATCATATTCGAAACGTCAACGACACCCGGCAGCACGATGATGCCCCGGCAACACGAGTGGGGCTTCGAGGATTTTCCTGATGGTGCACGTGCGAGAAAATTTTTAATCGCTGGCGAATTAATTTTTCATTCCTCGTATCGAGTTACCATCGCGCACGAAATCTTCTCCGATCGCATATATTTTGTGAGATAATATTTAAGTATTTATAGAGAACATATATATTCGCACACATACATCGGAAATATATCAAGTCGAGCTGTTGAATTATTAATGGAATTAATTGTGAAATTTAGAAGCGGTAATCCTAAAATACTGCAAACATAACGCGCATCTGATTCGATTATTATCAATTATTACAAGTAAATTCAACATCAACCATTAACGATCGATATCGCATTATGTTTTATTCAGCCCCGCCGTAATACCGACTATACGTGTAATTAATGGGTGTAAAAATGTGTGTGCGTTGAATAGCTTGTAATCCCACGTTGACGTACTAAAAGTTAGTAAAGCCATGATATCAACGCGAAAATTGCTCGCTATCCGTAAAGCTCCGGGGTATCCCTTGTGCCTGGAATCCTTTTTTTTCCGCTCGACCTAGTAAGGCCGAGTCGCGCGTCTCCTTCAAAATCGACACATCCATTTTACTGTTCGCGATAGAATCGAGGCAGAGCTCTATGCCGGGATGACAGCTCGGCGAGAATGCGCCCGGTCATCGGGATGTGATATAAAACCGTGAAGGGGAGGATCCATCGGATGAAAGGTGGACAGTCGCGGTGTGACTTATCGATCGAACATCGCCCAGGTGCATTCTCGTGCTTTTTCAAGGCGCCTCTTTACGCGGATGTTATATCGATCCGATTCGGTCGCTGCTGTTTTCACTGTTTTAAGAGTTAATATTTATGTAAAAAATAACCGAATATCGAGACTTTCGATACCGACAACTCGAGGAGCTGGAATACTCCGTGAAAAGCGCCGTAAAACATTTCATTAATCCAAAGCACCGCAAAATTCACCGACTTAAATCGATGGATATCATTCGCACTGTAATTATAAATATACCAAATATCATTTTCGCGTACGTACTTGCAAATGCGCCATAAATGCATCCTCGTCAGAATGTGGGATACGTGGCCATTATAAAACTGAGAGGAGAGAGAGCTGGGTAATCGGTCGTATTTTATCAATTATCGATGCTTTTAATCGAACATCGCAGCTGCAACAGCAGCAATAACGCTATATCAGCGGCTCGCCATCAATTTTTTTTTTTTTTTTATTTTGAACTTAATCACGCACCTTTTATTACATCGCGATATAGCTTCATCGAGCTGTGTTCGGCGTAGCATCGTGTAAACTCGTGTAAACGAGCGCACGACGATTAAAGCTATCTCGCCGCCACCGATTTATTTGTCTCCCTCACGCGCGCGCGCACGCGCGCTCGTTCGTCGTTGCTTCGTATTTGTTGCGTGTCGCCGCATCCCGTAAAATTAGATTCGCGCTTCGCGGCGCAAGGGCCCCTTCAAACAAATTGCGACGATTTCATGTGAACGCGAGCATGATCGCGCATTACCGCAACGTCCGAAAGCAAATGTCCGATCGGACGTCGTTTATCGCAGAAATCACACGCATCCGACATGAGTACGCTCGCGCAATAGTACTCCCGAGATTCTTGAATCGTTCTGGATCGAGAGATGGAGTCTCTTTAATCGATATTTTCCCGGAATGTTCCGCACTCATCGCAACGTCGTTTCCTGTTTCAGAAGCGCGAGCCAGAATAATCGGCCCGCCGGACATCTACGTGAAGACCGGAAGTCTCTTGACGCTAACGTGTCTCATGTCGCAAGGTCCACACGATTTGGGCACGGTCGCCTGGTACCGGGGCACTCAGGCGGTAGTGACGTCACCGCGGTCGGAGAACGACATCGACTCCGAGCCGCGTATCACCGTCGAGACAGATTGGAGCGACGCTCTCACATCGAGGTAGGCATCGAGTAAGCCGTTAAATCATTTATTCATTTCAATGCGTCATGCGTTGACCAGTGTAGTCGAAGAATCACTTATTTATCTCTATTAATTATCATAATAATATCATTAATTTATTCTACTTAGTGCTTATTTACATTAATTAATACTACGTATCCATATTATATCCATTTTATACGAGAAATAATATGTCAGTGTGACGGTCGATCGATCGCTTCCATTTAAATGTTAAATAACGCTCGAACTTTGCGCTAGAAAACGTTTTTTCTCTCTCTCTCTCTCTCTCGCGCGCGCGCGCGCGCGCGAACGAGTCGCTCTCTCGACCTCGCTCTGTCGCTGCGCGACAGCGTGTATTATAATTTATTTTTTAAATATCAAAAACCGGGTTTATACGCGAAACTCATTCGTCCGCTATGAACAAAATGGAAAAAGCCCTCCCCTCCCCCTCCGCCGCCGTCCACACGCCTGTCGCGCATCCAGTGTCATCGTTTCCGTCCAGAACAAGTCCTCGTAAACGCGTACGCTCTCTCGCATGATATTGTTACGAAGTACTATTTAATTTTTTACACCGGGCTCCAGTCGGGCAAGTGTGTGGACTAAATAAAAAATAAAGATCACACCGTATATGTATGTATATTTCTCTGGCGGTCACATTTTAACGCGGTTTAAATATTTCAATTTTCGTTGCAGCGTGTCCCTGCAGCGCATTTTAAAAGCCGGGATCCTACAACGCGACCAAGCATGCGCGCGTCCGTGTTTCGCTCTAAACGACATGCACACCGCAATTTTGTAAAATTGTTCATTGAAGAGCTTTGCGCGATGATAACATGCTTATGCCGCGCGGGATAAACTTGATCGACGAGCGGTCGGGAGGAAGCGTCGTAAAGTATTATTAAAGTATTAATCATATTCTCGCGCGCGTGCATGTGTATGTGTGTTTTTTTGTAACTTTATCAATCGCGATAGATATCCCCAAAAATGCGATCAATTTTCGGCTTCGACTGTTTATTTGCATATTTTATTCTTTTTTTTTTAAATCTCTTTTGCCAGAAGGATCAAATCGCTCGTCGCGCATATATTTCATTGCACACGATATACCGTATCTTTTTCGAGCCGACGGCGAAATAAATAAATGGTCCTCCGCTTATCCCCTCCCGCGCCCTGGGGAAATAATGAGAACTAATGGCGCTCCGGGTGGTTGTCCCACCGGTCCTACACGTCGCCGTGGCTCTTTGAAAAACTGATCCCACACTCAAATTAATTTATTTCGAGATCCCCGCATCTCTACAGGGTCGCCTTAAAAACGCGCGCGACGCGTACATCGCCATGGCAGTCGCCTGTGCTTGCGCGCAGCGTCGACTATAAATTTACTTTTTCTGTTGTAATTTCTAATCTATTTCTGATTGTTGTGTCTTCTTCGATAGCTATTTACCGATAACATATTATTGAACATGTACTAACGTCAAGTTAGTCACGTGTGTAAATTATTAAAGGATCTAGTTTCTCGAGTAAAGCTGCAACTTATATAAAATTTACACGTTATGCAAATCCGCTCATAGATTATCAAAAGAAAAAGATGCCAAAGCTTTAGCGCAAGATCACCTGTTCAAAAAGTAAAGTAGTCAGATAAACAAGTGTATACGTAAATTTGGTAGCAACTTTACTAGTTGATTTGTAAAGATTGCCTTTCTTTCGAGTACTTCATATGAATACTTATATTTATCACATAGAATGACGAAAAATAGAAATACGGAGAATAGTTATGAAAATTTGTTTGAAATAATATGTCATATAAAATGTAATGTGAAAGCATTTGAGTGCAACTCTAAATTAAATAAATTCGTTGCTGCACCAATAAAATAAAAAATTTACGTTGTTGTATGATGTAAATTTAATGATTTATTCAGCACAGTATATTTGTTTGACACACAGATGTAATTAAAAGAACTGCAAAATTTCCATCACGAAAGTCTGAGTACTCTGACATGTACTTTAGAATCAGACGCGAGTATTTGAGAAATGTTTGCCCAAGTACAAGTACAGACACTCGAGTCCTTTGTACAATGTACCTATAACTTGCGTCGCGTCTGTGTAGAGCTTAAGAGCTTCATCATCGTTCGAGATTGCTAATAAAAGTCATTGAATAGCGGACGAGTCCACGGAGATCGTGGCGTCGCGTGACGTCTGATTATTCTAATTGTCCGGCGCAGGGCTGAGACAACAAGGTCCTTTGTCACGTGGCCCGCGTACCGTGAAGACGCATCGGACATGCTCCGCATTTCGGGCGAGCTAGCTGTTAGCCGGGCCGCTTGTGTCGGCTCGAATATTGCGCGGCAGCCGCCGTTGTGTCCGCCGCGACGCGACGCGACGCGACGCGACGCCACGCGTCCGTTTTTGGACGTGATTGACGATTGTCACCACGACGCGTTACCACGCCGACAAATTTACGAGGCTGCGGCTCAAGAAGCGAATTAATTGTCGGCCCAGCTGCCCGCCCGCGACTTCCGCCGTGCACACGTCCGTTTTCCGTAAATCCGATAGGATTGTCTGAAAGTGCCGTGGTAGTATAGTCACGGTGGAAACGTTGCTATGGGGATGTCATCGCGGTTGGCTCATCTTCGCCCATCGCCGTGTATTCGCTCAACAATAACGGTAATCAGTGCCAGAATGTACGGAAATAATCCAACTCCTTCTCCCGTAGCAGAGACTATACGCGGAAATATTGTTACACGAGCAGAAAAACACGCTTCTATAATTATTATAATTACCCTCGTGTGAGATAAATTGTCAGTAATAACAAGCAAGTTCAGTCGTCAGTTGAAACTGATAATATCATACCTCGTAATATGCTTCGTAAATACCCAACGAATATACCTACATATTTCAAGTCCTTTAAAATCACGCGGAATCCTCCACGAGAGAATGAAATTTCGTCGCTGATGAAATGGAATGAAAATTACCTAGACATTATATTACACTCTCGGCAATATATTCATACGGTATTCCAGAATATAATAAATATTCACATTCATAAAGAGATTGAGATATTCAAATTTCACGTTAAGCGTGATCGGTGGCAACGGCGGCTAATGTACGATTCCAATTCTCAGATCTCAAACTTCTTGCATAAATCGCCCAAGCTCGATAATATATATAGTATGTGTAACCGGATATCGTTTTATTCTGTCACATCGAGACTACCTGGCCTTTTCCTCCTTTTTTAACCCTTCTCTTCCCCCTCGTCCTGGCGAGCGAAGGTGTAGGTTCGTCGTTGTTGAGGAGCTTAGTCCGGTACCACTATACGTTTTCATTATCCCCGGATCCTCGTCCACCTGGCTATAGCTCACAGCCGCCACCGTCGTCCTTCTCGTCGTCGTTGCCTGGCATCGCAATAATTATTTCGCAGAGCCTTCAGTTCGCGAATGCGGCAGGCACGTGCACGGGACAGTAGCGTTACGTAACCTTAAGCAGCCGTTATTGGTCCCACAAGCGCGATGCATTATGACGCCGCTCACGATGAAGCTAACTACTGAAATATGGCAAGTAAATGAGTAATCGATAATCTATTGGGAGCTGCGCTCCGCGCAACTTCTTCGCGCGAACACCGTATACATCGTGTAACCAGTATCCCTATTGTCCACGTACAATGCACGGACATTGTGTACATATCCAACTAAACTATGCGTCGCTTCTTATCTAAAAATACGCAAGTATTTTAAATAAAAATGATTACCCGATAGAAAAGAAGAGAGAGCAAAAGAACGAGAAAAAAAGAGAGAATGAAGAGACGAATAAATTTGGGAGCGATAATCTGTTGTAATTAATTCAGGCTTTCACAGAACTTTTATCTCTTCCGGAAGAGTGACAGAGGACGTCAAAAAAGACGAAAAAAACGCCGTAGATATCCGGATAAATGTTCCGCGAAAACACGAGCAATCGAAAATCCGCGCACGTGTACGTGTGATCTTTCCGTCTCTCTTCGTATTAATTAACGAACATTTTGTGTGCAAAGTCGCGCGTTAATCGCGGCAAATTCTCTGTTAATACGGGCCATCGTTTAGAAAACGAGCGGGCGAGTTGCTCTTCCAGCTAGTTGGCCGTTAAATTATCCGACTGCCGATTAACTTTTACATATACCGCGACTTTATCTCTCTCTCACGCGCGCGCGCGCGCGGCCGTAATTGCACGTGTTTATCTCTCCTAGTGCAGGGATACAGCGCGGTTTATTAATGCACCTCTCTCCGAGTCGTGCCTGTCCGAAGGCAAATTCTCTCTGTAAAACTCTGCCATCTCGCGTTGCACCTGCGAATTCGCCACACAGCCATTCGTACAAACTCGATATCCATATTTGAGAAACTTGCACTCATCGCATCTGCAAAAATCTCCGGACACGCGATACACCACGAGAATCCGAGTCCATTTCGATTTCCATTGGTCATCCCGATTTATAACGTTAACGAGTCCGGAACAAACGGAATGGAAAACGAATGAACAAAACAAAAAGAAGAGGAATACAACATTCTCCTCTTCCTGCTCCTCGATTTTCACGGCCGAGAAACATGATCGAGTGCGATGTAAATTGCGGACAAGAAAAATGAACGCAAAGCCGGAAAAATTACGCGTCGCGCGAACGTTAAGATGCGCACCAAATTGAGGTAAAGCTTTCACTTTTACAAGGGGATGTTTTTCTTTTCTACGAGACTGAACGGACGCGATATAAAATTTCGTTATTCGGACGTAATCAGCGTTGTTATTTCAGTTTGATGCGAATGCATTGTCGCTCCGCGGTGGACATATGTTGTTTATTCGATCTTATTCAGTGAATGTACTCATATTGACGCGATAATTTTAGCACGTTATTATTACGCGTCTCGCGTCATCATCATCATCGTAATCATCTGTTATACGATTCGAATTCTCTGACATGACGATATCCAGTGAAATAGAAATATCTCCCGACCGTGGTATCGGGATTGCGTAACATGATGAAATTTGCATGCATATCGAGAATACCTCCGACAAAAGTATGCGCAATGCATTACGCGGTGAAGAGAACGAACGACAATTGGACCATGCGTTGCCGCTAATAACGTCGCTGGATAATTATCGCTGAATTAACGATACTTCATTGTATGCCGGGAGCGTCGTTAGGTATTTTACACGAGATTCTGACTTTGCACGGGGGGCCATGATGATGAATCTGTTAGTGTGCGTGACGTCAGAACGATTTGGCAGTAGAGCGCGCGACGAAACAAAAGTGACGAGCGTCGAACGTATACGATGTCTATCGGGTCATATCGCCACCTAAGACCGGCACATTAACAGTCATTTGGTAAATAATCCTAACTGCATGCGGATCTCTGATTACTTATCAAACGATACTTGCTTCATGCGAGAAGCATCGATTCGGGTGGCTGAATAATGTTCTGGAAATACGAATCTGTAATTAATCACGTTTTCAATCAGAGATTGTAAAAGATTTGCAGCTAATAACACCGACTGTAACGCCTTGCTTGTTATTTCTCCCTCTTTCTCTCCCTCTCTCGAAAACATGGCGTTCGTAGCTCGGAAACAGCGCGATCTTGTTTTACGGTTGCTCTCGGAGAAAATTGCGATCTCCGCCGTATTTGCACTGTGGCGCCGATTGAAATCTCGTCTCGCGTACACAATTCTGTGAATCGCGGCTACAATTAAGCGATAAACTGTTACCCTTTTGTGCGACAGATTGAGGATCACGCATGCGAAGCCCGGTGACTCCGGAAACTACAGTTGCGTTCCTACGGTGGCGGAGAGAGCGAGCGTCAACGTGCACGTGATCAATGGTAAGTCCGTCAGAAATGCCATAACTGATCCATGCGACAAGATAATCCGTGTACGCGCCTCGATCACTTATCCCCGGCGGCTCCCTACGCGATACACCCGGTCTTTATTTATCACAGTGCATTAACCTTTTCACACATGATATATTCCTTTGACGATTCCTTCACGATTTAATCTCCTCGCACGCGCGTGTCTACGAGAAATTAAAATTAAAGCGGTGCTGCCTCGCTTTGCTGTCGCGTAAAATTCGAGACGCACTTGCGAGTTGCCGACACAGACTATCGCATTGCAAATTTCAATTAAACATGACCTACCGCCCTACATTACGGGCAGAATCCATTTCTGCGCTGACGTTTTTCCTCCTTGCCGTCAGATCTGATCAACGTGACGGGCGGATCTTTATCGTTTTAACTGTTATTTTATCTCATGTGCTCGCGGATCTATTTTGCATTATCAGCGAGTACACCGTTTGCGGAGTGACTTATGAATTTACGACGGACGCGTGTGATTATGTCGGAAAAGTCCGGTCAGAGATTATATCTCGCAATGTGCGGACGCGCGTGATTAAACACACGGTGTATAAATTACTGACAATTTAATTAACTGCTAACTCGTACATGAAGCACACTGTCAACTTATTATCCAGCGCAGTCGGTGTTTTCGCTGGCATGTTTTTTCCGTCTACTTTGTATGATAACGTATAAAAATAGCCCAATATCGCCAAAGGCGCGGAGCGTTTTCCGGAGACGAGTCGGCTGCGAAAAAGCGCAATATCGACGGAGGCGAAAACACTGGCGAAGGTGAAAGGTAGAACGTACAGGCCGCTTGAGAGACGAGTAGTCTCCCGATGGCCTCGTATGCGATCGAACTTGAATTAGAATCGACCATGAGGAAATCTCGACCGTTTATTCTCACTTTCTCGTGAACGGCAACATGACGATCAATCATACACATAAATAGAGGATGTTCTAGCGTACTCTTCCGCGTTTTTGTCGGATTCAGGATCGGAAAAGAAAGACGAGGAAAAGAAAGATTCATGAAGAAAGATCGCTTGACACATTTGTCGGAATGGAAAATGGACGCTCGTCCATTGAGCTGTGCAATTAACGTCCGCCGAAGAGGTATCGTAAATAGAAAGAGCGCGGGCTCACAGAGATCGCGTTGGTACGCCTGTAATTTGCAGGAAAGAGGAAACAAGAGAGGGAGGAAGGAAGGAAGAACGGGCGGGCAAGCGGGTGGGCAACGACTATACTCGATGTACCGCTTTACCGCCGGCCATTATCTTCCTTTTGTTAAGCCGACTACGGCAAAACGTAATTCAATTCCTCGCCGAGGTTCGAGCGCGCGCGTCCACCCACCTTTTCAACGATGGACCTCTCATCCGACTGAATTCCCGATGGAAGCCAGTCTTTCGCTTACATTCCGGATCACGTACCGTGCGTGCAGATATTTTTCTGTAACGAGCCTCCGACTTGCTCGTGATTACTTTGTGGCTCTTATTGTAAATTTGAGGGAGGACGGAACTCTCCCCGGGGCGAAATCTGTACGCTACGGCGCAACGGCACGTCGCCGGCTGCATTTCAAATGAACAACCTTAAAGTAACGGCAACGAGGTCAATCTTGTAGACCGTTACGTCGAAATTATGGCTCGCTGATGACAAAAATGAAAGAGCGCGCCGCGGAAATTTTGTGTCGTCACTTCTTAAAAATCTGGTAACGGGATCGCGACGAAAAACTGTAACGACTACCGATTATTACCGAGCCATGTAGAGCGAAGAGGACGAGATCATGGGAGAGGGAGCGGCAGAGAGAGGAGAACGATTTCATACATTCCGTTACGAATGTGTGGGGCTTGCGCACGGCAATCAGGAATTTACGGCATCGCCAAGTCGTTAAACAAGCGTATTTCAACCGGCGCATCCCGGAATCGTCGAAACAATGCAGCGCGCATGTTTTACATTAATGGAAGGGTAATTAATGTGTCGATGTCTTTGTGGCACGAGAGCCGCGATACTGAGAGATATAATAATAAACCGTTTTACTGCCTGACCATAGCCGCTATTTAGTCGGATCTACATGTATCTTGTAAAGTATTCGCAGTGCGACAACAGTTTCGATCGCTCCCGAGACGATATTTCAGCGCGAGCCAACTCAGGGGGTTTTGAAACCTGCCTCGATTAGAGAAAGAAATTCCTTGCTAGCATTAGAAGTGTAAGAGATATATTTGTAAAAATATATTTGTAAAAATTTCCATCGCGACTTTCCTGGGGCGCTTTCGTGGACTTCTGTCTGAGAATCGCTGCTTTGTGCGTCACGGTATGCATGCAATTTTCCATACATTCCGTGTGGCGCAGAATGAGCTCTTAGATGCACGTGCGCGTTTTGTAGAATCCGACTACTCGACAAAAAAGAGAAATAATCCTTGCGGATGGCGTTTTTCTTGTGTATAGCTGAACTATACACGCGCGTTGGAATTTTTCGGGAACATTTGTGTGCTCACGTTTGTACAATAAAAATTTTTATCGCACGATTTTCGCCGCTGTCAAATGCTTTAATAACACGACAGCATCTGCCCGTTTAGATCGATTCACGAACTAGTATTCGCGACAAAATTCTGTTTGCCGCTCTTTAATTTTATCCATAGTCAAATTTTACGTGATAGACTAAATAATTAACCCAAATAATATTTTCGTCGTGTAACTATTCAAAAAACGAAATTTATTGGATTAGCAATATCTACTGTGTCTATCAGTTTATTTTAGCATATCCATACATGTTTACACATGTATTTGAAACAATTTGAAAAAAAGTAAATTTGATCAGTTTCGCTTCTTAACACACTCATATTTTCCAAAATTTCGAGTGTGAACAATTTGCGCTGAATTACGTCGGTCTTTGTATGTCCAAGAACAATTCCACGTGCATCGAGTGCACGGGAATCTTATCTTTTCCACGGTCTTTATTTTGACTCGCTACGACCACTAGAAGTGGAATTATCGATGTTTGTATCGAGCGGCTCGCTCACCCTGCAGGATACCGTTATGCGCGAATATAATGCACGCTGCACTCCTCGCTGCGATTGCAGTGCGCGCTTACCCCTTTCACTCATGGCCTTACCCCCACCACTGTCCCGTTGCGTGAACAGCTGACCAGCAGAAGACCAGCCACGTGCTCGCTTGAGCCGCGGGTTCAGTCGCGCGTGGTATCGAACAGAGAGCGCCACCGCCCGCTCCAGCAAGCGTATCGAGTATATTCGATTGACTCTCGAACTCCCGCAACTTGTCGGAACTCCCAAACGCGTTGAAGGCAAAATGTAAGTTTGGTTATTGTTGCCTGCTATTCCAACAATATTGTCTATTATTGTATCGTCGATTTAAGGTACAGTTAAACGTTACAATGGATATAAATCCAGGTAGCTTCTTACGTGGCGCAGGTAGCTTCTTCGTTCGTGACGAGGTTACGTGCACGAAAAGAGGTTATAATATCCCCGCATTAGAATATACATAAGACATTTTTAATTAACAACTATGTGGAAGTGGTTTTAATTAACAGACGTTTGAATATGCAAGATATGTTTAATTAATTAACCGTAATTTTACCGAGGCATTTTTAATTAACTGGCAGAATTCGTAAAACGCCGAAACAATTACGAGTAAAATAAATGATGGAAACGATAAATTCACGATCCTTCAGTAACGTAACAACTTATTTTTCACGGATGTAGATTAAATAATTGTACGGAACGTGCTTCTCTATAAGTTTCGTCTCGTACGTCTTGCGCGAAATGTTACCAAGTACTTACCGAAGAACTTTAATTTACAGTTAAAAAGTCGACGCCATTAAGACGGAAGCACACAATTTTACTGTTCATTTAAAGTAACGAACGCAACTTCGCGAACTACGAAGCACTCCGGGTTTTGTATCGTTCGCAGAAACCCAAGTTTCGCGTATTCGTTAGAAGATATTGCTTTTCTTCCTCGCGTATCGCCAGGAACGCATGTGGGTGTTTAATAATTTTTTATGTAAAAACGCTAATTGTCGCTCGAGCACAAACGGCGCGAAATGTCAGTATATATGGAAATTGACGAGTGAGCCGCTCGCGTCGCTCTGAATAATTCGCGAATTTGTTTCAACGATTATAAGTCGCGCGCGCCACAGCACACTCTCTAATGAAACGTATCAAATAATTAGATATGGCGAATACGTGTGCGCAGCGAGAAGAAAATCGAGCGCGGTTATTATTATCGCGACGGTGACTTCTTTTATTAAACATCGTTGATCTTTACGGGTGATGTCGCGGTCTCCTTGAATATATTAATAGTTGTTACCAGGCAAAGTTTAATTCCATTCGTTGCAGGGTTACGAATAAAAATTTAACAAGCTCCGCTCTCTCTCTCTCTCTCTCTCTCTCTCTCTCTCTC